GTATTTATGATATTCTTTCAATATATATTTCCCCTGTATGTCTGGTAATTCATGGCATAATGTGTACATTGTGTCTCTGTTAATATGATATATCTTAAGTGTTTTCATTCACAAATTGTGTCCATTCATGTTTGTAAATGAAATGTAACATTTATTGTCTTCATTGGAAATGAGCTCAATTATTATCCTTACAGATATTTTGTCAAAGACATTGTGAATTGGCTTTATTATTGGAATTCTCTGACATTACATATTTTGGTCCATTGGCTTGTCCTCTTGGAAAATAATTGGTAGATATTTTAACTCAAAACAGAAAAAAAGAAGGATTTGAGAATTGAAATCCTAATTACTTTAGAAGAATTCTTGATTTATCTTCTTTCCTCAGTCCTCTTAATTCCATGCTTTACAAGGGGCCTAGAAAGTAAAACAAATCCCATGTTCTGTGGTTCAGAGACTAGCAAAAATTTTGATAATGTCTCTGTAGTGAGCTGAATGGTGGCTCTCTCAAATGATATTTCTACAGTCCAGTCCCTAGAATCTGCAAATATTATTGTAGATAGAAAAATATTAGATAAAGATTTTGGAAAAGAGGACTTTATCCTTAATTATTTGGCAGAGCCTTAAATCCAATGGAAAATGTCCTTATAGAAATGAGGCAGAAGGAGATTTGACAGGTACGAAAGGAAGAAGATGAAGGGATGATGAAGGCACAGAGTAAAATGATGAGGTCACAAGTTCAAGAATGCCAAGGCAGCCCTTAGAAGCTGAAAGAGACAAGGAATTATTTCTCCTCTAGAAAAACAGGCAGCTTGGCCATATTTCAGACTTTCAGCCTCCAGAACTGTGCAAGAATAAATTTCAATTGTCTTAAATGACCAAGTTGTGGTAAGTATTTACTGTAACCTCAGAAAACTAATACAGCCACTAAGACCATAGAACCTTCTGCCCCAGAAGCTCATGAAATTGAACAGGGTGTGGTTCAGGATAGAGCTACTTGAGGAATAGGAGATTAGCTTCCTAAGGGAGAACGTGTGATGTTTTATAGAAGAATGTAGTACTTCCATTCCTGAAGACCTCACCTTACCTTGTGTGATTTGGAGAATGACCTCATAGCTGGTTCTATAGACCTGAGATTGGGGATGAGATCTATTCCCTTGGTTTAATAGGGGTAATTTTGGCTCATGGCTGAGAAATGGATTTCAAATTCTGACCATAGTGCGGTTTTTGTTTGTTTGTTTGTTTAGTTTCTGTCTGTTTTGCAATTCTAGATGTGTGTTCTCCCATTACAGCCATTAAACTGTCAAGTACCCAGCAAATGATCATACAGTAGAAAGAGAAGGAAAACCTGACAATAATAATTAGACTTAAACTAATCTTAAATTATTTTAAACCTAGAAGTTGAAACAACTATAGATGGGAACTTGACATACCATTTTGACACCTCAAACAAGGATGATCACACCTTCATATAGTAATAGACTCTCCCTCACCTTAGGCTGAAGAATAACCACAGAAGGGACTAAAAACCAAACTGTGTAGCTTTACACTTAGCGTCTTATACAAATTTAATATCAAAGTAAATTTAAAAATTGTGTACACAACTTATTTAGAAAATATAATATTGTTTTTAAAATTTTTATTTATTTTTTACATGAGCTCTAATTATTATTATTATTATTGTTATTATTATTATTTGCATTACAATTCTTAATACACCTTTTTGTGATACACCATATTTTATGAAACAAAACTACCTTAGAAATGTGAGCATGGTGGTGCATGCCTTAATCCTGGCTACTCAGGAGGCTGAAGTAGGAGCATCATAAGTTTGAGGCCAGCCTCAGCAACTTAGTGAGAACTTGTCCCAAAATAAAGAATAAAAGGGATTGGGGTTGTAGTTCAGTGGTAAAGCACTCCTGGGTTAATCCCCAGTATCACACACACACACACACACACACACACACACACACACTCACAAGGGGGGGGGTCGTGTTAACATACTAGTGACTGACCAGTGTTGATCTTGGGCTTCAGCATGCTTGTAAGGAGATTTTGTGAGGATTCCACTTTCCCTTTCCTTTTTTCACACTACTGCAAACATTCATTCATGTAGCAATCCATGAAGTATAAAGTTCGCTTCATTTATTTTCTCACTAGCTCATGGCAATTAAAGTAGTATTACCTTGAATTTGATTGTGAAAACAGACTCAAATGCATCCTAATTATGTGGTAGCAATTATCATGTGCTCATCCAGATACTCCTGAATATGCTTAAAATTAAATGCAAAAGTAAAACATGCTTGTAGAAAATGTGCAGACTATCATTAGATTCCAGCCTGAAATACACCCACCTCTCAGAGTATGTATAAAAAATACACATAATTTGCTGGGCATGGTGGTGCACTCCCATAATCCCAGGGACTCAGGAGGCTGAGGCAGAAGGATTGCAAATTCCAGCCAGTCAGAGCAACTTGACAAGACCTTGTCTCAAAAATTAAAAAATAAGTAAATAAATAAAAAAGTCTGGGGATGAAGCTTAGTAGTAGAGCCCCCAGGTTCAATCCCCAGTACAAATATTTTACCTGAGTACCTAATGTTATCATGAAGCACTTGACTCTTGTTCCATTTGGACAATCGAATATCTTTGTTTTTGGGGAATAAGCCATGACCCATTTGGCCTCACTAGCCCCAGACCCCTGGAGATTGGTACACTGGGAATCATAGGTTAAACCATCACCATCCTCACTTCCACAAGTTTTAAATTGGTTGGCATCCTGAGGTTTTAATGAATGATTGATTTTGAAATTCACATTCCCAATACAACATACCTGCAATCTAAATGAAAGAAAATGGTCATGCTCCACAGTTAGGTAACCAAATAACTGAAGCAAGACAGTATATCTGCTGGTTCTTCACCCTGGGATTCAACCACTGTGAGTAGAAGATATTTGAAAACAAAAATGTATCTGTACAAACATACACAGGTTTTTCTCATCATTATTCCCCAAACAATACAGTATAACAACTATGATAAGTAATCTGGAGATTGTTTAAAGTATATGGGATGGTGTGCACAAATTATATGTAAATATTATGCCATTTTATTTTATTTTATTTTTAGTCATTGATGGACCTTTATTTAATTTATTTATTTAGATGTGGTGCTGAGAATTGAATCCAGTGCCTCACACATTCCAGGAAAGTGCTCTACTACTGAACCACAACCCCAGCCCCTCTGTCATTTTATTTTAGTTTTGGTAGTGGGAATTACATTCAGGGACACTCCATCACTGAGCCACATCCCCTGCCCTATTTTGTATTTTATTAAAAAACAGGATCTCACCGAGTTGCTTAGGAGCTCACTTTTGCTGAGGCTGGCTTTGAACTCGCAATTCTCCTGCCTCAGCCTCCCAAGCCTCTGGGATTACAGGTGTTCCTGGCAATATTCTGCCATTTTATACAAGGGACTTGAGCATCCATGGATTTTCCTGTCTTTGGGGGTCCTGGACCAATACTCTGCAGATACCCAGAGATGACTACATATAAATTTTTAGAAGTGTTTGGGGGAGTTGTTTTCATTATATTGTATTGGTAGGGCAAGGCACAGAGTGTGCCTATTTGTGTGACAGTTTTTCCCTTATGTTGTCCTCTTTCTTATCTTGCTCTTGTGTTCCTTCATCTTTCCCTTCTACTTTAGTTCCTTACTTCCCTCTAGGATCAATGTAATAAATTTTTCCATAAAGCTAAATATATTTAATGTAAAGAATTATTTTTATTATTATATTACATTCCTTATAATATTATGCCTTATAATTTTATATGGAAATAAATGCTAGCTGGGAGCACACCTTAATCCCAACAACTAGAGAACTGAGTCAGGAGGACCACAAGTTTGAGGCTAGCTTCAGCAATATAGTGAGACCCTCAGAAACTTAGTGATACTCTGTCTCAAAAAAAAAAAAAAAAAAGGATTGGAGATGTAGCTCAATGGTAAAGCACCTCTGGATTCAGTCTCTTGTGCCAAAGGAGAAGAGGAGTGGGGGAGGAGGGGAGGAAAGCTTCCTTTTATAAATAGTAGTGGGTTGTTTTTAAAAGTGTCTTCATTTGACAAAATAAGAAATTGGCAATGTTGGGTTTTCCTCTAAATATTTTGTGCATACAACATCTGGAACCACTTGTCTAGAGAATCGAGCAAAGAGAAGTGATAGCAGGAAAGAACAGAGAAATTTAGCAAATTGAGTTAAGTTGAATCAGTTCCATAACATACTTGCAACGCGGGAGGGGGGCCTGCGGGAAGTAATAGCGGGAGTGTGTGTCTCCTTTGGGAGTCTGGGAAGGCTTCACCGAGGAGGTAGCTTTTGAGCCGGGCTTTAAGGATCAGCAGGGAAGAAATGGCAGGGCATTCCAAGCAGAGTGCATAATGCCAGCAAAAGCACAGAGCACAAAAGAAACACTACGTGTCCAGCAGTTCTGAGTAGCTTGGTAGCTGGAGCGTAGGGTTCTTGGAGCGAGGTGATTAAGGGTGAGGCAGGAACTATTTTTTTTCTACTTGGCGTTTTTCTCCTACAGCTCTTTGCACAGTGCTGGGCACACACGCTACAGGAGCTCAATAAATACTTGTTGAATTGAGACAGGATGATCGAGTACGCTGGGAACAAGGACATATGAATCCTTTCTCACGCACCCGCGGTGTGACCTTGGCCAAGTCCTTTTTCTCAGGGCTGCGGTTGTTGCTTAGGTGCGAGTGGAAAAGTGGAGGAGGAGGCTGGTTTGAGTCAGTTCTTCCAAAGCCCTGAATCCCTGATTCGACGCGTCGGGCGGGGCGGGCCACGCGGGGCTGTGGCCCGCGGAGGTTCAGTTACTCCTCCGCTCCAGCAGGGGGCAAGGGGAGCGGCTTCCCGCCGCTCTTCCTATACTGGACGGCGTCTGGCCGACTGCAGCAGTCGCAAGCTGCGAGCGCAGTGGGCGGGGCCGCCCAAGCGGGGCGGTGGCGCTGCGCTGACTGGCTGGGCGGGGTAGTGGCAGTGGCAGCGGCAGCGGCAGCGGCGGAGGCTGCGGCTGCAGAGGCCACTGGGGCGCCGACTGGGTGGCCGGCGACCCTCTCTGCCCTCGTGCAGCCTCTTCACACAGATCCGCACTCCCTGGGCAGCGGGGACCTCGGTGCTCAGCCCGCCAGCGAGCTGCGGTGGGCACACCCTGGAGCTGCGGTGACAGCGGACAGGTTAGAGTGGGGGCAGGGGAGGGCGCGGGAACAGCCCAGGGCCAGAGAAGGAGTCCAAGCCGGACAATCTCCAGCCATGTCCGACGAGGCGTCGGCCACCACTTCCTACGAGAAGTTCCTAACCCCGGAGGAGCCCTTCCCGCTCCTGGGACCCCCTCGTGGCGTGGGCATCTGCCCCAGCGAGGAGCCAGGCTGCCTGGACATCAGCGACTTTGGCTGCCAGCTGTCCTCCTGCCATCGCACCGACCCGCTCCACCGCTTCCATACCAACAGGTATGAGCAGCCTCCGAGGGCAGCGGTGGACTTCCCATATCGCTGCCTATTGCTGGAGAACGCGGGGTCGCGCCCCAGCGGCGTTTCAGGTCCTTTGCCTGAGGCTGAGCTTCCAATGGCCCCCTCCCCCACCTTCCTTCGACCAGAGCTCATTCCCGGGCTCTTTCCCTCCTCCTCCTCCTCCTCCTCCCCCCTATTTTCACCCCTGCCCTCTGATTTTCCTTCCCACTGGCGTTACTAGGTTTCTTTCCCCCATTCATCTTCTGACTACAGCGATATCTTGTTTTCCTGCCCTCTGCTTTTCCCCTTCCATCTCCCCATCTGTACCCTGCGAATCCCAAACCCCCACCCTTGATTTTTAGATGCTCCCCTGTTTCTATCCGTCTGCAAAAGTTTAACCCATTCCATTTCCGGTACGCTATAGAGTGAATTTTGGGTGGCTCAAAAATCAATCCATGGATCTTTGAAAGGTGGCACTTTTGAAGCTCGAACCTTCTCTTTCCCAATTTTTAACCTGTCTTAATAGTTATTTTCCCATCCACCTCCCCCATTTTTAGCGGAGCGCTGTAAAAACTACCCCCCCTTCCTTTATGAACTCTTTGCCTGAGCGCTTTAGGCCCTGCCAAAATGTATAAAACTTAAAATCTGGAAGATTCCTTCATGTAACATAATCCTTCGTTTGCTTCCTCAGTATGGGGTTAGAGCAAGGCTTAAAATGAGCTTGTTTATACACATTTTATTCAGAGGGTGCATCTTCTAACTGGTTTTATTGGAAGGCAGTGTTCTGGAGAATTCTCCCACGAAAGTACTTAAGTGTTACATCAAACGTTGTGGGGGATTTGAAGATGTTTTAGATATAAGCCTCAACTTTTACTAACTGAGGATATTTGAGATAGGCATACAAAGGACTGGGAGAATGTGTAAAAGGGACTTGAGAGGGTTCAGCTGTAGAAAATACTGGAAGTAAGTAGTCTAGTTCTTATTTCTTATCCAGGTTTACTATGTGAGTTTGATCAAATCCATCCACATTTTAGTGTCTTGCATATTTTCCCCTCCTACCCACTTAAATCAATCTAGATCTACTGAGTCTCTACCAAATACAAGGAATGTTAAAAACATGATTCTTATCTAAAAGAAAGTTATAGTCTGTGGAAACAAAGATGCTTTAATACTCTTTCAGAACATCAGCATAATACAAAATGGCAGTAAATTTTTTACAACTATTCCAAGTTTTTATTGCAAAAATGAAGAAACTGAGGCTCAGAGAGAAAAAGACTGATTTGAAGGTCACAAAACCTTTCCTAATCAGGGAAAGGCCTAGTCAGACCTGGACTACTCCTTTGGAGCCAGTGATGGAACTTGGATCAGAACCAATGGATCTAGGATTATCAATGGTCATTGTAGTTTCTTAGACTGACTCACAGAAGCCTGTTTAACCATGATGTAACTAACATGAATGTAAAATTGATAAAATCAAGTATTAAGGTTATTTGTTTTGAAAAATAATATAAAAGAATGCCTTTGCATATATTTGGTATTCAAGTTTTGCAGTAGTGGAGTAAGTTACATACCCAGGAAAGTTAAATGATTTTAGAGTTAGCTGGCTCTGATGATGAGGGCAAGGAAGTGGGGGCAGAATTTGAGGGTCACTGTTGCCAAAACTGGTGGAGGTTATGGGGAGTGAAGCAGTGAGAATAATATGTTTCTTACAGTTTGTTCTGTTCCTCCTCCTCCCCATTATTTCCTTGTATTTTTTCCCCTTTAAAAGACTGTGAAAAGGTCAGGGCTGTTTTCCAGAATGGGGCAGTGAGGGTGAAAGGAGGTTCCTGTCAAGGCCAAGTTTGTCTAAGTCAAGCTTTATTTTTTATTTTTTTCTTACTGCTTTTTTTTTTTTTTTTTTTTTTTTTTACAGTACAGGGGATTGAACCCAGGAGTGCAGGACCACTGAATCCCATCTTTAGCCCCAGACAGGGTCTTCCTAAAATGCTTAGCCTGGCCTTGAACTTTTACTCCTCCTGCCTCAACCTCCACAGTAGCTAGGATTATGGGTGTGCCACACCTAGCACTGCCTGCTTTTTTTTTAACTGTCCCCTTTCTACTGTATTTTTCACAAGGCTTGGAATGGTAGCATGGGATCTAATGCTCTGCATTCTTTTCAGCAGAAAGTAGAAGAAACAGAATTAGCAATATTTATAGCAGATGATGTTTCTGCCCTAGGCTACCTTGCTTTTTAAATCCTTTCTCCTTCTGGAATGTTCTGCCTTCTTACCCCTCTTCAAGATGGTGTTTGAGAGAACCATATGCTTCCAGCCATTTCTTTTCAGGGAGAAGCAAACAGCTAAATCATCTATGTGGGCAAAGTTTAATATAGGGAGTTCTTTTATTTTGGAGTTGTATGCGTCACTTTTTTTCTTCATATCACATCATTTGCCAATTCAAGCAACATTCCAAAAATCAGATGTGAATAGTCGAGTACTAAAATTCTGCTTTGGGTTTAGTCACTGTAAAACAAGTTTTATTGAAAATAGAAAGCTTGTCAGTGCGTAGATATTTGGTTTACCTTTAATTGGCTTCTTCCTTATTATCAGTAAGAAAATAGGGAGATTGTTTAATTAATGCCCTTGATAAGGACCTTGTGATTATGACTATTGTGCCTACTCATTTACTTGAATGAGCTCTATTTCCAATCTTCATTAGCCAAGAGTCATGGAACTAATACTGGTCCCTAAGTTTGAATACATGTGTGCACATTAGAATCATGTTTGATATAGGTTGGTGTGTCACTGATCTAGGTTCAGTAGAAAATAAATTACAGGGACATAACCATTTTTTTGAAGAATTTTCATTTTCTATCAAGGTATGGTGATGTACTCTTGTAGTACCAGCTACTGTGGAGGCTGAGGGAAAGAATCACTTGAGCTCAGAATGTTATGAAGCTGGGGCCTTCCAGAAAACTGAGACAGTATGAAGACCCACCCTTCAAACCCTAATTCTTACAATCTAGTCACAAAGATTTCAGACATGCCACTCAGAGTAACAGGAATGAGTTTATTGAAGTGGGGGCAGAATTTGAGGGTCACTGTTGGATAGGAAAAGGGAAAGGAATAGGAAAAGGGATAGGAAAAGGGAAAGGGTAAACTCTCAAGGGAGGGAGTGGGTCCTCTCAGAGAGGAGAGAAACAATGTGCCTCTCCTGGACTCCAGTTTTATTGGGGATCCCAGATAAGTTTCCAGAGAGTCCCGCCCAGGTCCACCTCTTGACTTTTGACTGACAGCAGGTTGACATCAGACTTTCAAATGCCTGTTGCATGACAACTCTATGATACCCTGGCTTGTGATGAGTAGTTTTAATTGGACTCTTAATCATTTTTACATGTTTTATGGTCAGGAGGAACTATCCTTATCTTCTAGGATCTGATTTGTGAAGAGGGCCACAAAAGTTTCCCTTCAAAGTAACTTGGGTTCTTTTTATCAACAATATTTCCTGCTTACATTTCTTTACAGATAACAGGTGGTTTATTGAGGAATGTGACATATCCTGTCCACTTAGGCCAGGCAGGGCTGCAGGCAAATTGCTTTTTGGCAAAGAAAGCATGTGGGGTCAGCACAGTGAGCCCATTTTATAGAATTATTCTCTTAACCTCATGTTTCCACCATCCTCATCTGTCTGTCCCCTAACCAGAACTTAGACCAGAAAACCAGGCTGGGCAACATAGGAGACATTACCTTAAAAAAAACAAATAAAAAAAGGAGGGAAATCACATCTTTTAGAATTTTAAGAACTAATTGAGTTTTTCTAGAATTTTGGAAAAATAGAATAAATTTAAATTAGCTAAAAAATTAAGACTTAAAAAGAAAATTGAAATGTCAGTGTTTACATATATATATATATATATATATATATATATATAAAAAATATTAATTTGTGTGGGCATGTTTTCAAGACATTCTCTGTGGTTTTTGGGACAGGGTTTTTCTGATGTAAATGGTGTTTTTCCTCTTGAATTAGCATCAGGACTTTTTTTTTTGTATACTAGCTATGTCTGCTGCAACCACTCCCATCACCAAAAACAGATGTCATTTAGCAGATTGGAAAATTTTTCATGATACTGATAGGTCCTATGATTAAATTGTGAGATGACAGAAGTTAATATTAACTACGAAGTATGTTATTCTCTTCATCCTTCAGGACTGCATTAGTACTATGACATTAAACAATTGTGAAAAGTGTGTGGGAGGACAGTGCCTTACTTTTTGTACACCTTACCTGCAGGGTATGAAATGAACTATTGAATAAATCAGTTACTCAGTGATGAGATTTTAGAGCCCCATTTTCAACCACAATTAAGCAGAAAAATTCCAATACTATTGTGTTTCCTTTTTTGTTATTGTTTGGCAGTGCTAGGAATTGAACCTAGGGTCTCACACATGCTAAGGAAGTGCTTTACCACTGAGCTACATCCCTGGCCCCTATTGTGTATCTTTTATACCACACACAGTTTTACTATCTAGGTATAGAATTGGAGGTGCAGAAGAACTGTGGGTTACAGGTGGGAGAAACAAATTGGAGGAATTTGGTTTAGGGACTTGAGACAAAATGAGAATGGGGCTCAGGCTTTGGAGAAATTTCCAAGCTAGAAATAATAGACTTGGAGGTATGTATTAGTCCTCTTTTTGTCACTGACCAAAATTTCTGACAAGGATAACTTAGAGGGAAAGTTTATTTGGACTCATGGTTTCAGAGGTTCAGTCTGTTTTGGGCCAACTCCATTGCTCTGGGCCCAAGTGAGAGAGAACCTCATGATGGAAGGACATGGTACTCCATTCATGATAGCCGGGAAGCAGAGGAAGGGATCACAGGGAAGTTAACCCCCAGTGACCCACCTCCTCTAGCCATACTCCACCTGCCTACAGTTACCACCTAGCTCACACAAATTAGGATGTACTGATTAGGTGACAGCTCTCACAATTCAGCCATTTCACCTCTGAATATTTTCCTGC